GAAGAAGTGCTCAGTGTTTGCGGAAGTAAACATGGAGGCTAACGGTGGCATAGACATAATATAAGGATAGACCCTCATGGACCGCTCTCGCCTATTGTCGCTGACGAGATTTAGGGCGGCCATCTTGGAGCGGTCCACCACTCCACTCTGCTTTATGTGTTTAGCAGCACAATGACGTATCAGCGCATTTAATCAATCACAACACGCTTTTTTGTTACTGTAAACCATATTCAAACATCTATCAAAGCTACATTTATAAACAATTGTATTTTTAAGTATGTTTTTAATACATAGTTCATCATATTTAAATATGCCTAGTAGCTATAGCAATAGAATTGGAATAGAATATTCTGATATCGATGTATGAAGAGCATATTACAAAGCACACACCCGTTCATAATTTATTTAAATTATTTAGTAATATCAATACATATTTTATATAACTAATAAATAAAAATTAATAATGGCACAAATAAATAATGATTAATACTGAATTATATATATATTTTTTTCAGCCGACGAGTCCAAAATCCGATGTGAGATTCATCCGTGCTGCAGTGAATCTGTCTCTCTTCATAGATATCTCCCTCTTCTTCCTCACATCGTGTCTTTAGGAAATTTTCAAAACAAAAACGGAAGATTTAGGATGTATCTTACTAGTGAAAGAATTACATATAAATAAAAGTCTTTACCACCTGTGTAAACTTTGCTGGTGAATGTTATAACACATAATATAAGTTTTATAATATGTGTTATATTGTTTCATTTCTAATACACGCTCTTGTGTCAGATAATCTAAGTCAATGTTAGAGAATAATTAATTTTTTTAGATTTACGGAGTCTCAGTTAGCCTTCATAGCGGGGCTGAAGCCGTATTACACCAAGCACTGTAGCTAATATTAGCTGGTATCTCACCTATGGACATAAATACAGTAAAGTAATATTCTAATCACAATATATACACAATAATATGTCCATCTTACTTGTGAAATGTTGTCTGTGGAGCCCTCGCATCATTAGTCCATCGATCCGAACAACAATATCCCTCAGTGCTGAGGCATCTTCTGCTATTTTGATTGAGCAAAGTAGGAGGGTATACCGCTCCAAGATGGCCGCCGTATTTCCTGCGCCGGAGCGGCCATGCGGGTCTACTCTTATATCATGTCTATGTGTTGAACTGTCGGTTCACCTGGACGACCAATCAGAGCGCAGAACCCAGAGGGAGGACATCAGCGACTCTAGATTGTAAACCTCCAGAGGACAGATTCTAAATGGACAGCGCCACCTGCAGTTTGTTCCTGAAAGTCTGATGGGAAACCAAGGAGGGTCAAACCAGTTCTTTCTGGACATTTTCAGCCACCGTAGAGCAGCAGATGGTTCAATATTTCAGCAAAACCTTTCATGTGTGGATCCAACAGCCTGGCACAGATCTTGCTAAGGGTCAGCTTTTTGAAAAAAAAAAAAAAAAAAAAAAAAAAAAAAAAAAAAAAAAAACACTGAAAAATTCAAGATGGCGACCATTTTTCAAGATGGTTGCCATGAAAAATAACTTTTTGCACTAAAATTGCCAATTAAATCAGCGTGTTTGGTGTCAGATCTCAACCTACATATTATGATCCATAGAAATCGTACATATTTTCTTGAGTTTCTGTTTGCTTTTTCAAAATGGCTGCCATAATTTTAATAGAGAATAGATGTTTGCACTTAAACTGGAAGAAGTAATTTCCAGTGATGGGCACACCTAACCAAAGAGTTAGATTCACTAACCACTAATTTGATTAACAAGAATCTTAGCTTCACTAGTGCTAAACACATTTTAAAAATTATCACAAGCTGATGCTACCCTGCCAAACACATTAAACATTAATCATTAAGATGACCGTCTCTCAGTCTCTCATCTTGATTTCCTTCCTGTTGATGACTGTTGTGATACTCGCTATCAGCAAAGTCCTAAGTTTCTGCTTTTACTATATTATTACTTTACAGTTGTATAAATATGATCACCGAAATTTAAAACATGTCATGCAATATAAAATTCATTAAAGTCATGAAAATGGGGAACATTTTATGG